AACACACACACACACACACACACACACACACACACACACACACACACACACACCTAACAATTTGTCATCATCACATTTAACACATCAATACATCAATACAGGCAATCAACACGCCCTTGCTTGTCGCCACTGTGCAGCAGCGCCCTGTCTTTGAGTTACGGTTTTCGTGTCTTGCTCAAGGACACCACCGGCGTCTGTCTGTGGTGTAGCGGTTAATACGGGGTGCCCATGACGGCTGCATCAGGCCGATTGCCCGACTCGGTCGCCTGAAACTGAAAACAAACACCTGTGTCTTTCAGGCGACCGAGTCGGGCGGTCGGCCCGATCCGCCTATCCCATCTGTAGTGGGCACCCCGTATTAGGCGCTTCGTTGTCGCACGTTGAAGACCTGCATTCGATTCCCACGTAAGGCAGATTCTCATCGAGTTTATGGATCTTTCTGTCAGGGACGCTGTATTCCTCTCAGCCCAGACTGGCCCTGACAGACAGGGTCGAAGCCCGCCTCCTTAGTAATATGATTTAAATTGTGTCGATTTTTATATGTTTAAAAACTATAGTTGGAGACGCACCAAGACGAACAAACATCCCTACACATGATACGAACCCAAGTCAGAATGTAAACAAAGTGAATTCTTTTTACGGTCGTTTGGATAACCACGACGTCTCCGACCAGCTGACAACTCAAAAAGGTGATTCAAAATGACCGCACAGACGACAACAACACAGACTAAGACAAGAGCAATGAAATTTGTGTGGTTAATAATGAGGTTAAGATCATGTTTAATCGTCTGAAATCTCACAAAGCGAGTGGACGAGATGGAGTAAAAAGTAAAAAGTTCTACTCAGTTATCTCCCTTTTATACTGATATTTTCAATATATTATATATTTGAAAGAACGAATAATACCACTCTCGTGGAAATGCTCTGAAATAATTCCTGTCCCAAAGAAACGATCAATACAGAATTAGAATGATCTAAGACTCGTGGCTTTAACATCAGTCCTTATAAAATGTTTAGAAAAACTGGTTCTGAAAGAACTGAGGAAATCAACAGAAGACATACAGGATAACATGCACTTTGCCTATCGTGCCAAGAAGGGCGTAGAGGATGCCATTCTCGAGTTCTTAGATAACATCTACAACCCCATATAATGGTTTCAAAATTAATTAACCTGAACATAAACAAGAACAATATAGCTTGGATTCTTGAGTTCTTAACCAATCGACCTCGATATGTTAAATTAAATGGTGTAAAATCCGACCTAATATTCACTAACACCGGTGCGCCCCAAGGTTGTGTAATATCCCCTGTCCTGTTTACGCTCTGCACCAACGACTGTACTTTTGATAACAAAAACATCAAACTAATAAAATGTGCGGATGATTCCACTCTAGAAGGCCTTATAACAACAAATGAGAATGAATACAGGGACGCTGTAAATGTATTTACAAAATGTTGTGATAACCGCTTCCTTTTACTAAATGTAAAAAGGACAAAGGAATTAATAATAGACTTTAGAGTTTAAAAAAAGATCAATTTCAACCGCTATTTATTAAAGACAAGGAGGTGGTAAGTTGGTGTAACAATTGATAATAAACTTGACTGGCATCCCCACGTTGTTCTTGGGCATAAAAAAGTAAATTAAAGACTATCCCTTTTAAGGAAATTAAGAAGTTTCCGTGTTGATAATAATATTATGTCCCTTTTATACCATTCTATAATTAAAAGCGTGCTATTATTTTGTATTTACTGCTGGGCTGGGGATTGAAGGGTGAAAGATAAAGAAAAATAAAGAAAGCCAGCAAGATCTCAGGATATGATTTTACTAGAATTGATGAAATGTAGAACACCACAAGTATAAAAAAGATAAAAAGCATTATAAACGACCCATCACACCCCCTTTCCACACAAATTGTCAGATCACGCAGGGCAGAAAAGTATCTCTAAAAACAACGAAAGAAAGATATAAAAGAAGAGGTTTTTTTAAAAAACCATCTAGCAAAAAACTATTGTCAGAATAAGCATAGATGTGTGTTGCTCTTTAGAGTATGTATCTATATAACTCCAAAGGTCTTGTAATTAAATTCCTGCATGTGGGTGAATGATGCTTCTGATGTGACATGTACATTTTGTCAGCTTTATTTCTCTTTTCAT